AAAATAAAAAAAAAAAAAAAGAAAAAACTGAAAGAGCATGAATTTATGCCTAAACCTCAGAGCCTATTCAGAAACTCTTCTGGGGTTCCCTGAGATGCGGGGCCCAGTGCTCAGGAGCTGCCTGTGTCTGGCCACGGGCAATGGCATGGCTGAGACACGTGCCCACCCTCGGGGGACACAGGAGAAGCAGCCCCTGAAGAGAGCATGCCGGCCTGTCGTGATGAAGCGGGCGTGAGCAGAACTGCACACCACTCCCCAGGCCGAACACACCAGCCTGGACGTCTGCTCCACAAGGAGGGGCGAAGCTTCAGCCTGCAGAGCGTCCCGGGTGCACTGAGGAGCGTCGCACAAAAGCCAACCGCAAGCAGCCACCACGGGCACAGGGCAGCCCGTCAATCAATAGTCCGGGTTATTGATGTTATTAGCTGTCAATCTAGAGTTTAAGAAAAAGCTCAAGAGACTTTCTTCAATAAACGCTTTAAGGGAAGACAAACACTTCTCAGACGAAAATAAACTGAGGTAGTCATTCCAGAAAAACAAAATACAAAAATCCAAGTCAAAAGCAAACAGGAGATTTTATCAAGGCCTAGAAGCGCCCAGACGCCGACCCTCGGAACCGACGACAGTTGGCTCGGTGATTCTCTCCCTCGTCCTGTGACCCAGGACGGCAGCGTCCTACCTTCTGAGCGCGGTCGGTCTCCGACATGCTCTCCTTTGAGGTCCTGCTGTCCTCGGTGGGGAAGGCGGCTGCCTGCTCGGCCCCGTGCCCATCGTCCTCCTCAAGCTCCTCGGAGTCGTCCTCGTCCGAGTCCACCTCCAAGCTCTCCCCGTTCACGTGGAGGGTGCCGTCGCCCAGGTCCTTCTCGCCCTGGAACACAGCGGGTGTCCACCCCGAGGCAGAGCCACTGTGCTTCACGAACAAACCTGCTCTCACCCACAGCTCCAGGAGACTGGGAGGGGCCGGGCCCCGTGGGGGACAGGACACATTGCCAGACCCCTGCCCCACCTGGAGAAGAGCCTGGCAGCAGTGAGCAGGGAAAGGGCAGGGAGGACGGGGTGGGCTTTGCAGCGGGCCCTCGGGTGCGGAGGCTGTGTCCCTAGACAGAGGAGCTTTAGAGCTCCGGCTCCTCCCACAGGGACCAAGTCCACCCAAGCCACAGGTGGCCTCGCAACACTCTCGTGGCCAAACAGGTCCTGAACACAAACGTACTTCCCAGCGCACGTGGCACATGACTCAATCGCCCCTCTTACCTTGGAACCCACAGTGGAATGAGTGATACTCTTAAACATCTCAATCACCGTCCTCTGTTTTAACACTTTGGTCTTTTTCTTAGGAACCAGGCTATAGGTTCCCATTCTTCGTTTTTTCTTCCGAGATACTGCAGCTGCTAAAACAAAAGGCAAGCAAGCTAAAAAAAAAAAAAGTCAAAAGGGGACAAGAAAGGAAAAGAAACACCATTCAAATGATTTTTAAAGGTAGGAGACGGTTCATAAAATCTGATTACCAAAACCACCAGCAAACCCCACCGTGGCAGGCGCACGTCCCACGGGCCGTCAGCACAGCCTGGCCCGGCACCCCCAGTCCAGACAAATTGCAGAGAAAGCAGACACACCTCCTGGATCATCCGTCCACCTGTCTCATTCACAACACAACACTGAGCAAACATCGTCGCCTCACGCTACAGTCAGGAACCACAGACCATCAGCAGCAGAGCCCTGAGGTGACTTCCACCCATCTCCTTGGCGGTGGACACACGACACTGCTACCCTTGAGGAGTCCTCTCACTTACGAAACGATCTGCGAGAACGGTGTGTGCATCAGAAGGCACACGGGCGGGAAGGAAGAGCCAGCCTCGCTCCCCACCCAGGGGTCAGGCCAGGGTGGTCTCCCCGGGACTCTGCATTCTCATGTGCAGGGAGGAGCCCGTCTCTGAAGCTCTCGGCCCAACCCGTCGCCACCACCAGGGCCCGCTCCCAGCACGGTCCTCCTCTCTCTGCAGTCCAGACACTGGGGGACAAGAAGATCCCTGAAGACACCGTCCAGCTCACTACTGAGGGACGAGACGAGAGGGCAAGGAAGGGAAGGCAGCCCTGGGAT